AGCGGGGCTGGCGAGTAGCTCTCGTCGGTGTTTGTCAAACCCTGCAAATAAGAGATGAGTGTATAATTGCTTGATTAATCCAAAAAATAGACATTAGGTATCTCAAAGCCTTGAAAAACTTGTATATGTAACTATCGTTGTTTAGAGAAATGATACATATCTGGAGTCTAATAAGATCTGCTACATTGAACATAGTTTAATGTACCTCAGATAACTTTCAAATATCAAGTTAATTAATTAGATTCATTTTATAAGTTTTGAAAGAGAAATGGAATTAAAATTCAACTATCCTTTTCAGCAGTACTAGAATTTGGGATGCTGCTACATTCCTTGGCTTAAAGAAGTAATAACAGACATTACATATGGTTTTTATCATCAGCATCCCCTCTATAAAATTTGTTCCTGATTCTTTTTACTTAAAAGGTAGCAGCTATTCTCTTTTTTCAAGTATGTTTGTACCCATACTAATAAAGCTATGTATTTTTTGAGAAATCAACACAATGGACCCGGATCCTTACTTATAGGCTCTGCTCAAATGAAGTCTACAAAGCTACATTGATTTTTCACCCTTGAGAACACAGTCCACTACCACTGATGATATCATATCAATGTCGTACATAATACCAGTACATTCTTTTCTATCCTGTTCCTTATACTTCCTAACATTTTGTCTTGGAAGAGAGAGTCATTCATTTCTATTCTAACAAAATATGGCTAATCAGCATAACTTTGTATTACTATCACCAAAACTGTCTCTCGATCTCCCTATCCAACCTGCTCTCATTGAAACTATAGCTATTAAATAACTAGCTTTAGATAATCAGAATTTCCAGTGATTTTTTGTCTTTCTTACATCATTCTTAACATTAGTGGCACATTGTCAGCCTAATTAAGAAAACTATTATGATTTCTCTAGCTTTCCTTTTTATTGTAGTATTACTGCTGTTTTCTGTTTTACATTATATCCAATCCTTTCAATTTGATTAAGGAGACTTCACATTTAATAGTAATTCTTAGCATTTACATGGTGATTGACATCTTTAAAGCACTGTGCTGACATTACATAATTAATCCCCACAATATACCTGTGAAATGTACCTTCATTTTTTCTGAAATAGAATTTTAAAAATCCAATTAGAGCTATTTAATCATATTAATAGCAGGCCCTACAAGGAAGCATTTAGTAGGAAAACTGTACAGAATGATTGTATAAGACATCTTGATATAGATGTAAGAGAGTGTGTGCATCTCTCATATGTCCATTTGTGAGTATGTTTGTTCAAGAAATGCTCCTAAATGTTAAGAGCAATGACCACCACATTTGGTATACAATTTCCTCTTATCCTAACTTAAAGCAAGGTCAGAAGTTGTTTATGCCAGGAAAATGGGATGTGCCTGGAATTTGATTGTTTTCCATAATATGGAAAGGGAGGGGGCTGATAGGGGGACAGTTATGCTCTGCAATGACCATAGGGGGCAGTGAGCACAGGGGACAATTATACTACAGAATGACCACAGGAGGGTGGCTACACAAGGTAGAGTGTGGCCACCTGAGATTGGAACTCTCCATATTGTCATCCACTGGCCCAGGAAAGTGGTTCCCCTACCCTCAAACTCCTCCCCCAGGACTTCAGTCACAGTGCCAGATGGCTAGTAGCCCTGCCCCCTCAAGAAGCAGCAGCACAATCCAGCCCCAGGCAGCCTAACCCAAGACCCACTCCCCACAAGGAATCACCAGACTGGAAGGCTGGGCAGCTCCTCCCCTCCATAAGCAGCCATTGTGGGGAAGGATGGGCTGCCTTTGGGAGGAGCCACCGTTAGAGCAATGCCATCCTCACCAACACTAGTGGTTCCAGTAAGCCCCTCCTAACCCATTGACCCTCCTCCCTGATCTCCTCCTGCCCTGACCTTGTACCCCTTTCTACCTTCAGCTCCCCACACTTCCCTGAGTCCTGCACCCTCCACACCCACAGCATCCTGCCATGAAGAACCCAAGCAAGGTAGTGCCTATCTTCTAGTACTTTATAAGTCTTCAGTATACATTATCAGTCAAATCCAGCACTATCATATGCTGTGCTGGGGATTAGAGTCCCTTTTCCCCTTCAATATCATAGCAGGTTCTAATCTACTGGTAAGGAAGAAACAAAGAGTACAGTGCTGGCCAATTCCATTGTTACCAGCAACTAGTAAACTAAATTTAATGGGCCTGATCTTAAACAATGTTAAATGCATTTGTCTCAGAAGATGGTCCGACCTGGAAACCACCGTATCTGTCTCCGGTGGATTTCTCAGCTCGAGTTCGAATAAACACAGACATGTATAGTGTTCAAATTTAACAGTATATATTGTAAAGTACAACAGATAACAGGTAAGTTAAAAACAATGGATTACAAACAGTGAACTGATAAAACAACCCCTCAACCCTCTGATATGATAGAAAACAGGATATAACAAATGGCAGAACTTTATACTCAGTCTGTCTGAGGCAGCTTGAAGCACAGGACCTTCAATCCCTTAGCTGGTGGTAGTTTTCAGGAGAGGAACACTGAGGCGTCCTGATGCTCCGGTGTTAGCGGTGGTATGGCAAACAGTTCAGTTCACTGCTTAGTCCCTGCCTTCGCAATGGACCAGCATATAGTTTGTAGATTGCAGGCAGAGCAGTTCTGGATGCCTTGAAGGGCCTTCACCACATCAGGCACAAAACGATGGAAGGAGCTCTGTGGTCACAATCCCGAAGGTGTAGGGGAGAAGCACGTAGCTGAGGCTCACTGAGCTGAGCTATTGCTACAGTTGTGGGCCAAAGCACCCTGTGGGTGGCAAAATAGTCGGGTCTGGTCTGTCACTGGACGGGGCCTTCACCACGGTCTTTGACAACAGAACGACTCTCCTCCCCAATGGTATGGGAAAGTGCTGACCCGATCTCCTCAGAAATCCAACTTATATAGAGCCCAAGGCAGGAAAACTCTGAATGTCCCGAGAGCAAAAACAAGGTGTACTCAGTGCAAAACTTTGGAGCCTTGTGCACATTCAGTGCCGTTTGCAGCTTGGTGATGCTGTGAGCATACCCAGGTGTGGTGTGCAGAGATGGTGTTTTGGCGGCAAAGTCACTTGGGTTCCATTTTGAATTGTTCTTTCATGTACAGACTCCATTTTGATTTTATAATGTCTATACAACCAACACCATGATTTTGAAAACAAGTGATCCACAACTTTAGGGCTGTGTCTAGACTGGCAAGTTTTTCCGCAAAATCATCTGCTTTTGCGGAAAAACTTGCCAGCTGTCTACACTGGCTGCTTGAATTTCTGCAAAAACACTGACGATCTCATGTAAGATTGTCAGTGCTTTTGCAGAAATACTATGCTGCTCCCGTTCGGGCAAAAGTCTTTTTCCGAAAAACTTTTGCGCAAAAGGGCCAGAGTAGACAGCAGAGAGTTGTTTTCCACAAAAAAGCCCCGATCACGAAAATGGTGATCAGGGCTTTTTTGCAGAAAAGCGTCCTGCCAATCTAGAAACTTTTCCGTTAAAAGCATTTCCGGAAAATCATGTCAGTGTAGATGTAGCCCAGGGGTATTGCCTACATTTGTTTAGCTAGGTCTTCATTTAAAACTAATTAGGTGAAGTCCAGGTCCCAATTAAAACAACAGAACTTTTGCCACTGATTTCAGTGAGGCCAGGATTTCAGCCACTGAAGTCAACAGGAATCTTTCAATTGACTTCAGTGTGCTTTTGATTAAAACATCTAGGGTATATCTACATTAGCTATCTCCTCATCTGGCATTCCCTTCTGTCACATGGGACCCAGCTAGCTCATTATGTAGGTAACCCTTCTCTTCTAGCATAACAGCATTCCACATATAAGCACCCAAACCCCTTAAAATAGGTCTTTAGCCCCAACTCTGTTAGTTTACTTTCTTAGGTTTGAGCATCTCTACCCTGGGTCTGAACTCAGCAATCCTGTAACATGCCAGGGGCTACACAATCCTCCTCCTTGCTGCTGATACCCATCCAGCCTTTATTCCCTATACGTTCTCTCAGATGACCAATCTTTCAAGTTTGGAATCCTCAGGTTTAGGTTCCTGCTACCACCTCTCAGTTCCCAGAGAGTAACTACAGAATCCCTCCCTATCTACAACTCTCTTCTGTTATAAACATCTTTTCTTTATAATAATGTGTATGATCCTGCCCAGCAGAGCTTCGTGTTCACCTCCCTGCAGGTGCAGTAAAGTAACATAATTAAACTTGCCGGTCTGTATTAATTCATTCAGGGCCTGTATAGAGTATACCCCATCCCACCAACCGTTAAAACACAATTATAAATTAAACATATTCACTTGGACTGGCATGGCTATGGCCTCTTTGTAATGGTGAATGCCAGTTTGTTCTCAAGAGGTTCAGGTCATTCACTGGGATATGCTGTCCACATTCTGTACTGTAAAATCACAAACAGAAATGTATGGTCTGATTTTCAGAGGTGTTGATGATTCCTGTGGAACTGAATAAGAAGCACAGGTGCTCAGATCCCCTGCAAATGACACCAGTGCTGTGTACTCCAGTAATATAATCTTGCTACATTTATGTTCTCAAATAGTTGAGTACATGCTGACATCTCTTTTTACAGTAGTCCTTTCAGTTTCAGGAAAGCCACTCCCTTTTGTCACCTAGTAACTTTTTAATAGTAAACACCAAGCCCAGAGTTTCAGAGTCAGGTACTTGATTATTCAGTAGGACTAGGATACAACATTATGCCCTAAATAAGTTACAAATTAAAGCTACAATATTTTGGAAGTGTCCTGAATGTGAGATGTTTCAATAGTATTTTATGAATTTAAAATGGAAATAGCTGAATGTAGGAGAATGCCTGGCACAGATAAACCAAGTCAAGTACTAGAACAGATTTGGCATCAAAACCTAATGATAAGAGAGACACTTCTAAAGACTGACCTTCAAAATAATGAACATACAGCAGAGTGTGTGTCTAGATTACTCTTTCTCATTCAAGAGCTCAGCAGTTCCCTCAGCCAACAGCTGCAACACAATACAGACATCCTACAAGCCACCTGCCAGCTATTGAAAACTCTTGAAAAACAACACAAGCAATTAGTTTCAAGGCAAGGCAAGTAAACATAAATTTAATCTGATGTCGCATTTTTTGCTTATTGGAACTCAGTATTTATTCTTTCAGTAGAATATATTTTAATGTTTTTTCTCTGTGTTGTTCAGAAGAGAAAGTATGTTTAAAAGGTTTAATTATAGAATAATGAATTAGATTGAATTAATATAAAGTTTCCTCATCTATTATTGTTTGGCATTATTATAAACAAAAAACAAACAAAAAACCACCTTCTGCCATCTGGTCTTGCACAGCTCAAGCAAGCCAGAAAGCCTTCCCCAAATCTTTCCTGAAAAAACTAAATTACTCTAGATTTTCCCTTCCTACAAGGCTGTGAATAGTATTTAATTACACAAATTTACATTTAATGTGATTTTAGTGTGAGATTTAAAATATTTTCCTTAACAAAAGATAGCATGTTTTTGCAAACCAAAAATCTCTCAAAAATCCTATCGCACAAGAATACTTAGCAAATTATAGCAAAAACAAATTTTATGCATTTAATAATGTTATAGTTTAATACACCTAGATTAAGAGACTGAGAGATGCAATTCCTTAACTCAGATCTTCAGCTATGCTAGTACTTATGAGTTTTAGCTCTATGTTTTTTGTAAGATGTCCAAGATCACACAAAGCTTTCTAGTGAGTAAAAACCTGCTTGCAAGTTGGTTTTCCCAACTATGTTTGTGTGATCTGTATTAACTCCTTTTCATTCATTCAGAACTCAGACTCTTTAAAAAAAAAATCTTTTCCATAGTATCTCTCTTTTCATATAAAATAATCGGTTAGTAAAAAAGATAGGAGACTTAAATACAGATTGCCACTGTATTCTGAAACTAGGTTATCTCAGGTCATAAAAACAAAGACTGTGTACAGTCCTTAAAGCGATGACATGGGTTTAAAAGAAAATTCACTGAAGGACATTTCAAGGCTAACATTGTAACAAAATGTGGGAAGGTTACAGTGTTACATAGTCTAAAATTACTATATGTTGATACGGTTCAGCTTTTAAACACATATGTCAGGAAATTCAAAGGTACATAGTTTAGGCAAACCTCCATTTTCAGAATGGATCAAGAATATATGAAAAATTTGAAATTGGGGAAAATTGAACATTTCAAACAAAAAACTATATTTTTATTTCCAAATTTCAAGAAATGGGGTACCAGCATAACCAGAGTTTACATGTAAGCTCCATGGCATCTGTAGCAATATTTTCTATTACCGTATTTGGTTCCAATTTTAAAGCCTTAATATGAATAGTCACTGTGTAAATAAACTGGTATAAAGGCTGTAAGGAAAATATGAGACAAATTTAAGGTAAAATGGCTTAATTGATGCAATTTTAGCAAATAACACACACATTAAAACTACCTAGATTCAGGCAAATGGTTTCTGCTGTATTGGGCAACCGTGGTGATGTTTTTGTAACAACCTTATACTTTGGATCCTATTTACAGTACTAGGTAACAGTTTGGTCATGTAAATAATCTTAAGATTGGTCAACAGGTTTTGCAAGACTTGTCAGGTGATACAAGAGAGTTTGGGTCCAGCTATTGCTTCCCTTTCTCTGTTTCATTAAGCAGATCTCAGATGCAACTAAGAATTGATCTTCTTCATCAGCCTTTTATCCATCCATCCATTCTGGAATCCCACTCCCTATAACCATAGGAACTAAAATATAGACATCCCACACATGACACCAGATGCATCCATATACATGTATCAGATGTGTAAGAGTGGCACAGAGAGGTTAAGATGAATTTAACCCCCAAAAAGGCCACAATTTAACTGCATGTTAGCAGAATGGAACTTTATTCTAAATGAAGCCCCTATTAAGGCCAGAATGCTATACTCCCTTAACAGGGACATTTTGGGATTCCCTTTGTTACCTTAGCAAGTACAGGAAGCCCCCAACTTGCAACATGATTGGTTCTTGAGGGAATGTCGCAAGTTGGGGGCGTCGTAACTCAAACCCTCATTTATGATAGGCGTTGTGCACCATTGTAAATGCTGGCCGAGGATATAAGTATGGAGTTTTTTGGCCTCTTCTGCACTTATAAAAATGGTTGTAAGTGCAGGGGATTGGAACTTGAGCAGTCCAAGTCGGGGGCCTACTGAATATTCTAACTGGTCCATAAGGCAAGATATTTTGAGTATATTATGTTTACTGTACAAAAAATGCACCAAGTTTTCTAGTAAATCTGTAACTACGAAGTACTGTATTTCTAATGAAGACAATGGAATTGCTCAATTTACATTAGTAAATGACAAGAACAATTTAGCTCCATAATAACAATTTAGCTCCATACATAAGCGAGTATGGATGCATACACCGCATGCTCTCCTCATTTCTTTATTTCTCAACTATTTTTTTCACATTATAAAAGCATTCATTCTTTATTGAAATCTGCACTTTTTGAAGTGTGAAACCTTAGATCCAAGCCTTTTTTATTTGAATTGCCAGAGTGCAAAAATGTATCTGCACAATTTTTTTCCAACTTGAGAAATTTTTTTAAAATGTCATACTCTGGTAATTGGACAAATATGAAATATTTTTCCTGTTGGGATTTCAAATGTTAATTGCTAGGCTGAGAACAAATATAAGAATCTTTATTCCAAAATCAAATTTTTTGAGACAGATATAAGCCACTGAAAATGAGGGCTGAAAGGAAAGTCCATCAAATCTGTGGCATCTCACCAATAACATTATCATATAATACAATTATATTTCATGTGGAAAACAATAATGTATTGATTTACCAGGCAGCTTACTCATTAGGTGTGAAAGAAGAAGCAGTGAGTGTGAGTAATTTGTTTCTATACAGCAGTGAATCACCCTATTTGGTGTCCTTTCGCTTCTCTCTCTCTCTCTATCTTTTGCAAGTGGTAAGTGTTGTATATGGTGTTTCATCTCTATCACTTTTTTTATTTGTATTGACTTGCTCTGGATTTAACCTCCAGAACAAGCCTGTGAGTATCACCCAGGAGTTAACAGAAATATGCTGAGAAATGCTCCCAGAGGTTTGTAATGCATCTAATAAATGAGGAGAGACAGTTCTAAAATTCTCCAGTTGCTACAGAGTTGACAGAAAAAAGGCTTGAGGGTTTCTGTAAAAGTAATATATCTAAAATCCTTGAACATTTTTCTTTTGCAAGAATCTCCAGGAAAGGGCATAAGACACGACAAATCAGGAAAATAAAATAATTCATTTTCTTCTAAGGTTACATTGTGACAGATATGGCTACTTACTGTCGTATGCTTGGGAGACCTTACTGAATTAAGTTTTTGTATTTTTGGAGTCTGTTGTGTTACATGCATGGTTTATGTAATATTGTAGGCTGGGACAGCATGTAAAATCTCAAGGTATAAAGTTGTGATAGGTGTAAGAGCCAAGGGGTTTCAAGACACTATATTGAACAATGTATCCAAGAATTAACTTTTGGAACAATAACTTTGCTGAATACCTAATAGAAGGAGAATGCAGGAAACTACAGACCAGTTAGTTTAAATTTTGTGCCAGGGAAGATAATGGAGCAGGTAATTAAGGAAATCATCTGTAAACACCTGGAAGGTGGCAAGGTGATAGGGAACAGCCAGCATGGATTTGTGAAGAACAAATTGTGTCAAACCAATCTGATAGCTTTCTTTGATAGGATAACAAGTCTTGGGAATAAGGGAGAAGTTGTGGATGTGGTATACCTAGACTTTAGTAAGGCGTTTGATACAGTCTCGCGTGATATTCTTACTAATAAACTAGGCCCGTGGTCACCAACAGGTTGATTGCGATCGACCAGTCGATCGTGAGGCGTCCTGTCCGCCCCACCCTCATTTCCCTCCCCCCCCCGAGAAGCCCCACAACCTACCTCAAGTGAAAATGGAGGTAGTGTCATCTTCCCGGGGATGGACAGAAGTCCCACAGCTTAGCGCCACTTCCGGCGATTCCGGAAGTGCACTAGCTGCTCTGCCAGGTGTACTGCAGGAGGGAGCATCGGCTCCCTGCACCACACAGGAAGGGTGAGTCAGCCCCGGGGGAGGTACACACGGGGTTTCCCGGCATGTGTGGGGGGGGGTCAGCCCCGGGGTAGGCACGCACAGGGCTTACCTGCACCAGGGGTTGGTCCTGGGGGTGGGGGAGGGGAAGAAATGCCTTTATATTAAGAGCAAACATCACTGATCTGGTTAACTCCAGGCTTCCAGGTAAAATGTAAAAAGTTGGCATTGACCTTTAAAGCCCTAAATGATTTGAGTCCTAATTTCCTGAGAGATCCATGTCTCCTTGTACCATATTAACACTCCTGAGATAAAAACAGGTATCTGAAGTTGTACACTGTCAGTACGGAATGGAGGATATGTCAACAAGGTATTCTCCACATTGTTTTTTTTTCCCTCTATAGTACACCTCCTTGGCCCCTTGTATAATAAAACAGCCTTTTCCCATCATCAAGATACTATCTCACAAGAATATATCTGTAGCTCTTCAGCACATAATGCTGAATGAAATTATCGTGAACATCAATCTGCCAGCAACACAAATCATGGATATATATATATTTTTTTAGAAAGTCATTACAATACAATTTGTTGCCAATACTTCTATGAAAGTATCCTTGTCCCATTACAGGAAATCCTCTACAAGCACTTGGAAGATAATAAGGTGATAGGGAACAGCCAGCATGGATTTGTAAAGAACAAATCATTTCAAACCAATCTGATAGCTTTCGAGTCTCGTGGATAAGGGAGAAGCGGTGTAAGTGGTAAACCTAGAGTTTAGTAAGGCATTTGATATGGTCTCGCATGATATTCTGATCAATAAAATAGGCAAATACAACTTAGAGGGGCTACTATAAGGTGGGTGCATAACTGGCTGGACAACCCTAGTGGTGGTATGTCTACACTACCACCCTAGTTCGAACTAGGGTAGTAATGTAGGCAACCGGAGTTGCAAATGAAGCCCGGGAT